GCTCCATGAAAATGGAAGTATAGTTAGTGGTCATGGACTACACTCCCACCAACTTCCACCTCTCCCATCAAACCCTAACCCTAACCCTAACGCTAACCACCACCATGCCGCTGCCTCCGGTGGTCTTCCGGCGAGGCTGGGTGGCTCCATGGTGGAGAGAGCGAGGCAGGCCAATGTTCGTCCGCCTGAGGGAGCCCTAAAGTGTCCTCGATGCGACTCCATCAACACAAAGTTCTGTTACTACAACAACTATAACCTCACTCAGCCTCGCTACTTCTGCAAGGGTTGCCACCGTTACTGGACACATGGCGGCAACCTGAGGAACGTCCCTGTCGGTGGAAGCCGCCGGAGGAATAGCAAGAAGGGCAAACAGGGAAATTCAAAGTCTACTTCTTCCTCGTCCAAACAGTCTTCTTCCACGGTCAACGCTTCAAATCCTAGCTCAGGACAGCTAGGGACAAATCATCAGTTCCCATTTTTACCGACTCTACACAATCTCACTCAACTTGGAGGTATCGGTTTGAACTTAGCCGCCACTAATGGTAACAACCAAGCTCACCAGATCAGTTCGAGTTTGATGAACGATATAGGGTTTCTTCATGTCGGAAATGGGCGTAACACTTCAGCTCCGATTACCGGAAACATTCATGACAACAACAATGGAAACCACCTAATGACGTCCACTGGATCGCTGAACCACTTCGCTCTTTTCGATCCAACGACTGGGCTATATACTTTTCAAAACGAGGGCAATATCGGAAACACTGTCGGGATATCTTGTTCCCCTGCTTCCATGGTTGATTCTAGGGTTTACCAATCAGCTCCGGTGAAGATGGAAGAACAACCCAATCTGGTTAACTTGTCTAGACCGGTCTCCGGTTCATCTCCTGGGAATCAAACAAATCAGTTACTTTTGGAACCATTCGGATTTCTCGGGTCCTTCTAACGATCATCACCAACTCTTGTGAGATTTTGTGTTTTGTGGGATCATTAATGTATGTTACGGCTTGAAGATTGATTTAAATGACTACGAACGGTCAGGATCAAATGCATGCAGAGTACGAATGCCCCCAGGACGATGATCGTAGTGAGACAAACCAAAAGGTATCTTGATTAGAGTTTGTGGTTCTACGATACTTATTTATATATAGCTATTACGGTGTGTCATATAATTTGTTTGTATTGCGTGCATGGTTTAATGGTTGATATGATTTATGAAGTTGCTATGTCTCAATGAATTGGTGTCGTGTGTGTAACAGTCCAATTTATATACTTTTTAACTAAATCTCATTGAATGTATAACATTTTCAGCTATTTCTAGTTATACTCAATTTATGGCTATAGGTTTGCCTGACCAAACCGAGTGGTGAACATTACTAACGATTTATCATTTACTGATTGTTCAAAATATCTTATAGAAAAGTTACAAGGATAAATGATAAAGTAAAAGGGAGGTTGCTGACTAAGGAACTTGATCATACAATTCCGTGTCTCTCTGGATGCTACGTTTTAAAAATCCCAAATTACTCTTTTTCTCATATTTTTAGGAGATTATTTTTCTTTTAAACTAGTCTTCCCTTGTACGAACCTGTGCATGTGTCAGTCTGTATGTGTGGGGGGCATGATCCTCTATATAAATTATCTTTATTAAATATCAAACATCCATGTATAATTGATGTCTACTAGATATATATAATTAATCAGGAATAAACTTTATGCATGTATTAAAGCATACTTACGTATTCTTTTCTTAATGTATTATTGTTTAGCAAAAAGTATACTAGGCAGATTTCTAGGTATAAAAACGTTTATTTACATACGACACAATCAAAGCTAAAACCAACCTACTATAATGCTAGCTACAGGTTTTATATTTGAATTGCATTTAAACTGATTATTCATATTTAATTGATTTACACGAATATCTATTGGGTTTAATCAGTCAGTGGTTAAGACGACGTTTGGCGTCTGGTTTACTACGGATATTGTATTTGACAACAAATATTTGGAAG